CATGTTCATTTTAGGTATCACGTGCCTATATAAAATTAAAACAAATGAATAGTCATCAGCAACAAACATAATTATGCGTACCCCTCTTTGTTTGAGGGTACAAATAAAAAAGAATACTTTTTCATATGCCTGTTACATAACTTTCCATTTCCATATAAAGATTAAAACATGCGGTTAACATTGTCGTACAAAAGCAAAAAAGAAAAGAAAAAACACTTTAACACAATCACTGGATTTTTTATGTGAATCTTTTTGCGATAAGGGAATTGAAAAGAAGGGAAGATCTATCTACCTTGGTATCTTATAAAAAAAGAGAGGGAAAAAGAATTTCATTTCATGTTTAAAGCTACATATCTTTAGACCAGAATTAAATTTTAATTAGTACTGCATTTAATTTAATAACATGTATACAAATCATATACCTCGTGAAAATTTAGCATTTACGTAACTTTCGTATTTATGTAAAGATTAAATACATGTACATGTATGCCGTCAAACAAGCCCAAATCCTGTCTTATCATAAATGCACTGATTTTACCCGAATTCATACAATCCCGTTTAAAGCCGGTAAAACTAGGAGGTATATGGGTTTCTGTTTTTAATTTCACTGACGTAAGCGATACTTTTCTACTGTTAGTATGCTAAGACTTCTTTTTTTCCTTTGTTCCTCCTAACTTCTAGCGCATTTTTCGTATATATTTCTTTGTCTAAATAAATCTAGAATGGCAGTGTTTTTTTTGGTTGGCAAAACTATTATCTAGCACAGAAGGGCCAATAAAGTCATAAAATAAATCCTTTTTCATAGAGAGTAATTTTGCATTTTACTCAAACAGTATATTTTTCGAAACATCAGCGCAATTTATGTGAGTTTGTTATAATTGACGCATGATCAAACCTAAATACAAAAGTATGTCAACAGGGTTTGACCATAATATATTGAACCTAAACATTGTTTGGTTTGATATCTTATATTCTCGGTCATTTTATTTATAACGGAAAAAAAAGTGTTTAGAAAAAAACAAACGTGGTTGTCATAAAGCAAGACTGGTTCTATTCACTGATTTTCACAGTAATGTTTCGTCATTTACACAATGCATTACTCGAGATTATTAATCAAAATACAACTCAAAGTCATTTTCTAAACTGTAAATAAGCTCATTTAGTTGTATCACTTGATTCGTTTTCAGATCTTAAAAAGTATGTTCCAGTTTTATTTCTTCCCCTTTGTGGTTGCATTTTTTAACTGTTATCTTAAACTCTGTTTCTTTTAATTTCCAATATACGTATTTTTTCAAAACGAATCAGGGCCAACCATCTTCCGGTGGATTCATCACAAATCTCAGTAATCTAGAACACTTTTCTTCTTCCCTACAATACTTTGGGTCACGATGCTCCGACTGCACAGTTCAATTGTTCCGAGCGATGTTTTAACGCTCCGGTTTCCTCCGATTTTCATTGACGCTTGTTTCAATTTTTTCATTATACTTTAAGAATCTGCCCTTTTTCAATAACCCTTTTAAAGTGAGCATCACAATACTCTTTTCCCGTCATCTCTTTTAATTTTGAGTTCCTTGAGGATCTGTTTGTCTATCAAAATCACGAATTCTCTGAATAGCCGTATGTATACCCAGCCTTTCTTTCAACGATATTCTTGGGATTGTATAGTCCCCAACAAAACAGCCCCTTTCATGACTGCAAGTCTCGAATCTTGTTCAAGTAATATGTTTAGGTTTTCCAAATTTGGCTTTTATTTTCTCCCTCAGATATAAGGCGACTCTGCGGGAATCCACCAACAAGGAGCAAATGTTTTCGACATCTACTGGACATTTCTTTATAACCTTGTTCAACGATTCCTATAATACCATCTACTGAAGACTAAAGAAGGCCTGCCATAATTTCACCATTGAACTCAAGCCTATGGTCCACACTTTTGAATTTTACCTTTTCTTTTATAACGTGATGTCATTTGTGACAACGTCTGATCTAGTGTTTCGCCTTGTTTCAGATTTTAAGATTTCCAAAAGAGCGTTTCTAATTTTAAGCTTATTACTTGATCATCTGCTTTAAATGCTTTTTTCTTTGTTTCGAATTCCTTTAAAGAAATCAAGATACAGCAACATGTGATTTTCTTCAAACAAAGTCAACACTGGTCCACCCACAAGGTTTATCATGAATTTGTAAAAATTCTAGATCTACTTTGTTACCACCATAGTCTCCACCACTTGCTCTATAAAGTTCTCGTAACTTTCCATTACCAATAATTTCATGAGCGCAGATATCAGCAGTACCGCCCCCTAAATCAGCTAAAATATATTTATATCCTACAGGAAGTTGATCTATAGAAGCTGAATTTGTTGCAATCATTAACCTTTCTCTGCAATACATGGATGCAGCTTCTGGGCTCTAGTACTAACCTTATTTTATTTTCATTGATACCGGCATCTGTTGCAGCTTTTCGCATAAAGTGACGTGCAGATTGTGACCAAATTGCAGGAATTGATAACATCCAAAAATGTCAGTTTTCTTCAAATCTGTTTCCTCTCGCATGACAGAAAGTGCTAAGGATTTCAGATATTCGATGACATATGAAAACACCCTGCAGGCAGGGAACTCTTTCTTGTGAATATCCTTTATCTTTGTGTCCTTTGAAAAAAAGGGTTTATTATGTAGTTCCATTTTGAACGCCCTGAATAAATAGTATTCATTTTGCTCACTTTCAGACAACTTGCAATAGTTTTCTAGAGCTTCGAATCCGAAAGAATCAAAAGAACCATCTGGTTTAAGTAGCACTGTGGTTGGCTCCCGATCTGTCTGAAGCTTATTTTTATACCTTCCTGTATGAATTTGGCTTTGATTTCGGACCAGAGAGAAAGCATATCCGGTATTGCTGGTTCCAAAATCTATTCCAACGACTACAAGAACACTCTCTGTGTCCTTAACGCCACGTGCTAATTCATTTCTGCTAACATGTCCTCCCATTTTCACTGTAATTTAATTCGTAACATTTACATTTTGTCCAATAATTCTGTGTCAATTTCTTGAATAAATTCTCTCCATTTTTAAGGTATTTGAATTTTTGTTTTGTGTATTGCAATATTTATGTTAATCTTAACATCCATGTTATCATTGTTGTGACACTACTTTTTTAGTGGCCTCCAATCGATTTTACTGTACAACATATAGTTCGACATTGGCATTTGTCACGACTTTGTTTTAACATGTCTTATTATCTATTTAACAAATACCGTATCAATTGATATCAAGTTACGCGTTTAAATATACAGTGCAATATATATGATATATATTTTAAGATATTGGAAAACATTTTAGTTTAAGATCGATTTATATACTGCCATTCTGTTTTATGAAGAGTGACACTCGAAAGTATACCAATTATCGAATTTCATGTACTCAGATAGTCGATTATATTTATTTTCTTGTTATAACTTGATTTGTAATATATTTTGGACACAATAACATCAACAAATCAATATTTTTGATATACATGTACGCGGAACTTAATGGTAAATTAGACCGTATTCATATTGATATAGTTAACATTCTACAGTAGGGGAATGTATATTGTTTCAGTGTTTTCATTAACGTAGGGTGGTCAATTTTGTGGTGTGTGCATTACAAGTTGAATTAACTATCCTTACCAAACTACCGCTTTATTATTATCAGCAGTTTTTAATGTAGACGGAAGTTTTCTAACTGTCGTTATTAAAATTTCTGATAAAAGAATGAACAATTTAAATATCATGTTTTCATGGTTATATGATAGAAAAAAACAACACTTTTGTAGAGACTGAGTCAAGGTAATTGATTTAATTTAGTAAACAACCAAAACGATGTTTTTTGTTCCATGTTATTTATTTTCCTCATCAATAGGTATATGTATGTATGTAGAGGGTATTCGACTCAATACCGTACATTGTGCATAACATAAGAATTAATATAACAATAACTTACATGTAATGTATTGCAGACGTTCTATGACCAATCTACAATTCTATATTTAACAATGTTACATATAGTCATATGTTACACATTATTCAGTTAACAAGGAACTTCATTATATATATATTTAACCTGAAAATAATCAAAGAGGTTATTCAACTCGGTTTTGTACATATGTGATGATAGTTGTGTGATTGGTTTTTTTCACCAACAAATTTTCTCATTCTTTTTGTATCATAAATCGCAAACCAGTAAGAAAATAACTTTACAGGGAAAAAATACCGTGCTTTAATTTCTTTCCCCGGGCATAGTCTTTGCCTGTTCCCCCAGTTTAGTTTTGCAGATTTTTATTTTTTCCCAAAAAAAATTAAAGAACGGGGCATGTTTACATTGAAAGATTGTTTTATTAAACTATTGTTATATTTTTTATTTATATATTTTTTATTTTGTTTTTATTGAAAGAGGGCATATCTTTTTGACGGGGTTTGGGATTTTTTTTTTCTTTTTAAGGCTGGGACGAATTTCTAATTTGGGGTACTAAATTTTTGCATCTATCATTTAAAAAATTGTGCATATAAATCCATTGTGTTCTTTTAATTGATTTAAATTTAAAAGTCAAATAAAAAAAATTTACTAACCCTTTTTTAATTAAACATTTAAATTTAAAAAAAAAATGTAATATTACGTTTACATAAACATTTAAATACAGAATAAGGAAATATATCAAAAGTGTATATTGTAACATAAAAGAAATTGCAGAGCCTTGCATCGGTTTGAGTAGAATTTAAAGTAAAAAAACAAACAAACAAAAAACAGAAAATGTCTCTAGAATTAAATTAGAAACATGTATCAATGTTTCCCTATGGTCGTAATCATAGAACCTTCTATGTCGCACTTTCATGCAAGCCCACGAAAATAAACGTTAGGTCCAAAATTAAAAAAAATGCTCATAAGTCATAAGTGAGAAAACAACGGTGAACATAATTTAAAAAATCGCAAATAAATATCTGCTAAAAGACATATCTCAAGAGTTCACTGATTATTCCTTCAAATTTATGTCAAATAAAATGTCATATCGTGTACTTCTGCCACGGTAGTTCTTGGATCAAGATGAAATTTGTATGTTAATTACCAGATAGAATTCTTCTTTGCCGTATATCAATAATACCTTTTGTCTACAAAGAGAAAGAAATTATAAAATTATAAGGTCACTCAATTTTCTTTGAACTGAAAGAAATCAGGAAAGCATTTCATATACTAGTAAGTATTTTTTTAAAACTTTGTTATACGCGGATAATCAGAATAATTATTTTTGAAAATAATCTTAAAGTGAGAAGTTTCTCCCAATCTTCTGCAAGTACTTCATGTTCGGTAACGTGAAAATGTCAAGCGAAATTAAACATATCTCAGATATTTATAGCTAAGTAATCATTTAATTAAATAGAATTACCTACCCATAGGTAAAGTGTATGGGCGCAAGGACTTGCCATCCTAACATCATGGTCATCATATTTATATAAAATGGTATGTGCTGTTTGAACAACCGTCTCTGGAATACCGATAGTATAGCCCTCCTGTTGCATTTTCGTCAGAATTTCTTCGCGTCTTTTTTTTACAATGAAAACCATATTCTTCCAGTTAGAGTCCTATTAAATATAAACTTATTTTTCAGTGGAAAACAAATCAAATCAATAAAGAAAAAGGCACCACACTTAAGTGTGTCGCACTTAAATGTTGGTCAATAGTGCTTTAATTGCAAAAACACAAATACTAGTAACACCCACTTTAAAATGAATCACGCTAGTGTCTATACATGTATATTTTAATAATAGTTCTTGTTAGAAATAAAATATACATAATTTATTAGATATGAATGTCTAACAATTCTTAGCTATGGTTAGGACTTCTTTTTATAATGTTACTTTCTCTTTTGTCAACTTTAAGCTGATTATTAGCTCGTACATACTTCCGGTATTTCCTGAAGCAGATAAAGTAATGCTTTTACTGTGTTGATAACCTTTGGAGGAGGCTGGTTCATTTGTCCTATTTCCGATATAGCTTCTCGTAAGGTCGGATTTCGAGCAGAGTATTCTCCTAACGCTGCTATATCTTGTCTCACTTTTTCGGCTTCAGCAATCTCTTCCTCTAAGGCTATCTTGTATATAAACCTCTCAGCAAAATGCAGAATTCTCTTTGTTTTGACTTCCCTACAGTGCATTTTGCACTCTCTAAGATCTGAAATTGTACATTTATACAAAGGTTTCCACTTTCTAAAATGTGTGATATTTAAAGGATTCTATGAAAATAAAGAACATAATATATGAGCCGCGACATGACAAAACCAACATAATGCGATTGCAACCAGCATGGATCCAGACCAGCCTGCGCATCCGCGCAGTCTGATCAGAGCATCCATGCTGTTCGCTTGTAAACCCTATAACAAGTAGAGGAACTGGAAGCGGACAGCATGGATCCTGATCAGACTGCGCTAAAGCGGAGGCTGGTCTGGATCCATGCTGGTCGCAAACCCATTATGTTGGTTTTGTCCTGGCGCGGCTCATATGTATTCTTTTCTCGCAAAAACGATAGTCCTGTATTAATTAAAAATATGCCCTTTAAACTTTTAACATTCTCCTGTTTCTTATAAATTCACAATGAATCATAAATGTTTTTATTATTTAAACACTATACGAGGGGTGTTCAAATACGAATGCAACTGGGTAAATTTTCAGAAGTGCTTAAACAGTGCCAAATAAATTATCTCAATCCTTCAAAATATCACCATATGATAAATAAATTTCAGTCTTTCAATCCAATTTTTAAATGCGTTTTCATAATCTTTTCGAAATACTAGTATACTGTTCAGACACTGGAAAATAGCCGAGCTGAGATTTTTTTCGCGTTTGATTTTTTCTTCTGGCAAGGTGTATTTTACTCTCGGGAATAGGAAAAGTCACAAAGGGCAAGATCAGGCGAATAGGAAGGGTAGGATGCTCGACAACCTTTTCCTGTTTCAGATATTTTCGTACAATAACCGCTTTGCATGACGAAGCATTGCCATGCAACAACCTGACACCACGGAGACCAGTTGCTGGTCGACGGTTTATGAAATATTTTTTTTATTTAATTTATAAAACTTGGCATTTACAGGTTTACCCTTTGGTACGGAAATTTAAATAGCAGGACCTTAATTCGTAAAGAAAATTACATATCTGACCTTTTTGACGCTCATGGTGCGTTTTGCTATGTAAGGTCTTTGACTTCCTTTGGTTGCCCATATTTTGTTGTTTATTTTTCTTACGCTTGGGCTAATAAAAGTGAACCCATGGCTCATCGCCAGTGATGATATTTGCAAAAGGTCGATTGTTGTATTTAGGGAACTGTTTTAACAAATGTTTGGAGATTCAACCAAAGCAAGATTTTGCTTTTTTGTAAGGAGATGGGGTATCTATCTGGCACTTATTCTTCTCATTTTTAAATCACGTCTGAGAATTGTATGAGCGGCTCCTACAGAGATACCAACGCCTTGTTGTAAGTCTTGCATCAGTAGCAATTAAATTTTTTACTTTTCAACCATTTTCGGCAAAATTGCAGTTTTCGGACGACGTGCATGAAATGCATCTTTTACTAAAACCACAACACTTTAAAATTTCTTAGACCACCGTGTGAAAGAGGGTAAAGATCACTTATTTCACCACTTATTTCATTAAATGTGTCTTTTGCGTGTATACCAAAAATATAGCCATTTTTGATCAGTGAAAGGACGCCTTTTTAAGCTTTTGTTTTCACGAGTTGAAAGCGTTAATCGAGCTACTGTCAAAACTAGAAAGAACTGATTTACACATGTATTGTATAAATTGAGAGTTTAAACAACCATCTATGCGATACATGTACATAGTTCGTGCAAAATGTGGCTAAAAGCGAGATATGAGCCTAGTTGCCTTCATATTAAACACCCCTACAATAATATTGACTGATAGAATGTACCTTTTTTGAAGGAAAGGAAGTCTGCTATCAAGTTCAAAACAAAAATGTGTTCTTTAATAGATGGTAGAAATCTTAGAAACTGCTTAACTAGCCCCTTGATTGTGTTTATTTTCTCACCAAGGTTTTCATCAGGGCTTAAATACGTCTTTTCAATCGTGTCCCTTGCAATATTGATATTTGCCTATTCAAAAAAGTTTTGCTGCTGTTAACAAGTGATACATAAGTAATACATAACAAATTCTGGAAAATTCTACATATTGTCTCGATAACTAGTAATTAAGATATATTCAATATCAATAAAATAAGTTAATGACAGCTATTAAAACTTTCATCTTTGCGAAAGTAACATCTGGCATTGTTATGAAAGGCGCTTATTTAAATGCTATAATGTTATATTACGGTGTTTTTAGATTTTAAAGCATTTCTTTGTATTTTGGTATAAGTCATGCCAAAAGTCCTAAACTTATGAAATTCTGAAAAAGCAGCTATCATATAATTATTTAAACCAACTAAAAAGCTTCATATGGCGTTATACTACAAGGCCATTCGATTTGCACGTTCATATCCTCAGTAAAATGGTTTATATACTTTCGATCTATTCATTATTTCGGTACTCCATGTTAAAAATGGTGTATGTTCATAAAATTTTATTTTAGTTGTCTTGTTCAATATCTCACCTTATTGATTCCTGTTGGTTTAACCAATGTTGACAAAAGGTAGGTACAGACAATGTTTTCCTCGATGCCTCCTCTATTTGACATTGCTGCACTGCATATACATAAAGCGCATTCACCTTCAGTCTGTAGAGTGACGTGTATCACAAGTTTCTTTCCTGTACCGTTTCCTCGATCACATCGGATAGACCCTGCATCAGCATTACTAAGTTTGATGGTAAATTGGTTGTCTTTGTGGCTAAGGTAAAACATTAAACAAATTTCCTTTCCTACACGTACAGGAATCCGTCCAGAAAAAATGGAAGGAATGATTAAACCGGCTGCATATGAGTATGGGCCCGGACCCCAACCTGTAAGTGGGCATTCCAATGGTAAAACCGTTTGCTTGCCAGGTAATTCAGAACACACGAGTTTGAATTCACAAAGACGTAGTGGGGAATATTGGTATGGGCCGCAATATATTACAAACTTGTAAACGCCCTTTTGCAAGAACCTTATTTCAAAGCTATAACCATCAACAGTTCTTGAATTAAATACGTTTTTGATGACAATTCAACTGTCTCACAACCGGGGGGACTTTCCATTTCTAAAAGTTCATACTGTAAAGGATATGTGACAGCCTTTGCCAGCGGAAAATGAAACTGTATTACACAGACTCCATTTTTGTCACTTTTTAAATGACACTTTCTTTCACTTGTAAGCTCAAGACCACTAGAAAAATATGGAGGAAGAAAATAAGGCATTTCAAGGAACTCATTCGAATCTTTTACATTAGCATTACTTCCTATAAGTTGCCATTCTGTTTTATATGCCCAACACTCGTAGACGAATTCTTCAGGTTTAGGCATGAAGTATCGCTCTTGAAAAGTTTCAAAGTTAGCGTTGACACCAAGATCAGCTCCATCATTCTTGATCCAGTAATCTTGCTTGTGGTTGCCAACAGGATTACAAATCCAATATGGGTGCACAATTTGCCAACCGTTTTCAACTTCCACTGCATTCCAGGTCATTTGATAGGCCCATTTATCGCCTGGTTGATAAGAACTTGTCTTACAAAGGCCTGTTATAATCACACACTTGAGACCTGCTTGTCTAAAAAATCAATATTTGCCATTTACAGGGTACATGATGAAACTGCATATCGAAAGACTTTGACAATAGACACAAAAAGATGTCCTAAAGTTATGATTTATTTGTTTTTTATAATATTACCTTTTACGATTTTATAGCTTCATATGGTTCAAATTATCGTCTTCGTCATTGTCATTATCAATATCGTCGTTGTTACAATCATTATCAACACTTGTATCAACGTCATCATTACCGTTCTTATGGTAACAAAGCTTTTGCTGTTCTCCTGTAAACTCATAGACTCTAACACTAAATTAACACTAAAAGACATTCGGCGTTTACATATTGAAGGTCTTTTAGCCAAGATTAAACATATAATAATTACGATAAATGTTATCCACTGCAAAAGCCTGAATTCTAAACTTGTTTGTTATAATAATACGGTTTCTGAATATACGATTTAAAATATTTTATCTAATGTATTATGTTATGAACGAGCTGCTTGTTTTCGGAGAGGGATTCTCTTTTTTTTTTTTCTTTTTTTTTTTTTTTTTTTGAGTACATTAGTTCGAAACAAAGAAGAATGAAAAGAATACTGTAAGTTTAATAATATAACTTAATATGTTTTAAGCTCCCAATATTTAAAACTAAAAGTCACCCGGTGTATACGCGATGATTATAATGGTCAACACAATAACAATATCCGCAGACAAGTTTAACTGAGTTCATTTCCTTAGGAATTTGGCTTTAAACGTCAGTATGAAAACATTATTTTGTTCATTGGTCAGGCGGTCTAAATATAAATATTGAATTATTTTCACATTTACATCAAAATTCAAGACGGTAACAACTATTGAGCCCAGTGTCCATTTTGTCAAGTTAAAAAGACCGCAAATCCTATCGGTAGCAGCAAATTCAATGAAACAGAGTCTGCAATTATCATATTCTTTTGTTGTTTTCATTGTTTCTGGGGGATCATCCCTTTTCCAGACTTTTATACAACAGCAGGTCATAATATAATATATAAGAGCCGATTGCATCTGTACAATGTTGTCCTGTACTTCACTTCAGTATGTCTTATATCTTTATAGACCTCGGGATCATTTATATCAGCACATTACGAGTTGAGAATCGAATATTGCTTACGACGTTGCTAGGTGTAATGAGGAATGTAGTACGTTTCAATTCACCACAATTAAACCGAGTGTGCAATTTTTTATGTTATTTTTTGTTTATTTTTGTTATATTTCCTCCAAGAGATTAGCCCTTTACAATATTTTTTTTAAAAATGCACAAAGTATTTGCACATGGCCTTCACTAATCAATAAGCAATTTTGTCTTGGGCCATATTAACCATTCGAATTGGACTTTTTTCGGCGTGTATGCATATTCTTGTTTGTAACTAAACATGTTACATATTTATATTGTTTCTCGCATTGTGCACACAATTGCTTTTAGAAAATTTGTTTATGCGCAAATTGATTAGGGATTAATATTAATTGCTACACAATGAATACGTTTTGAAATATTATCAAGGATGTTATACTGTATATTGACTTGCTTTGTACCTAACAAAAAGTACATTAAATATTCAAAGCTCTATTTTCTCATGTTAATAAAAGAATATTTTAACAAATGAGATTGCGTTGGCAATCCATTACTGCATTTACTGTTACCATTGTGTTTTCATGAGGGCGTTGACATTATCCAATTTTTATAGATGTTGGATTTTATATTTGTGAAAAAATAGCAAATTTATATATTTATATACACACATGTTCTATTGATACTTCCACGTTATGTATTTGCTATTTGTTTATTATAAAACATTCTAAAATAATGTATTAAGCAAACGTTGGAAAAACATATATATTCAGCGATTATCATTCATGAACGGCATTGATTCACTGAAAACAAGTTTGCAAAAATAGTTTACAAATAATGCTTTAAAATTTCCTGATAACTTTTAAAAATGACGCTTGCAAATAATTGAAGAAAAAAAAACACATTAAATAGTGAGGAACATTCGAAATCACCCACCGTTACGCCGTTGACCGTTATCACTTTCGAGATGACATGGTGACATTTTTAGCACCAAATTATCATGTCAACATACAGGAAGATTAAATCATTACCTACAGAGCCTTGCAAAGCAGTTTGAGTACTTTATCCGTTTACCCTTCAAAAGATTAATCAAGCCTCCGGGAGTTTCTGTTCCAGCATATCCATCATTGACCTTGGTCGAAATTTGCTGTGATATCCATTTGATTATTGCCCGCGCTTTCAATATTTTTGGAAAGTCACACGATTTTTCCTTGTCAATGGCATCATTTATGTAATCAAAGAGTTTTTCATACGAATCAAGCAAGTCAGGCGTTGCCTGAAAAAAGTAAATGTTTAAACATAATTATGATTTTGTCTCTATCATCAATATTGGTTAGTATACTAATATGTACAATAAACTGTGTGTTTTTATTTAATCTTGCATACGCAGAACATTTGAAGAAAGTTACTGAGATATATGATACCCTGATCTGCTAATGCTTAAAGTAGAGAGGCCACGTTAACCTGCACATTTGTGCAGTCTGACCAAGAACTATATTGTTGCTTGTAATAGTCTATGCCGGGAACGAAGTAAAAACTTTTAGGACAATTAGTAGAGCATTTGTAATGTAACATCGCGTGGAAAATAGAAATGTACTTGTGTTACTAGTGACAATACAAAAATGTTAATGGTCGTACAAAACTATAAAACAACTGACTAAGGATGTGCTACATGTTACTTATTGCTTATTACATAATAAAAGATATATGTGCCGTCGGAAATGAGAGAAAAATGTTCAATTTATTGGTATTCATTGTACTAAATTCAATAAGCTACTTTTCTCTAATTTAAAACACTGCAGAAAAATCTTATGCAAGTCTTTAATTAACTACGAAGGTTCGTTTAATAAACACAATATGATATTGACTGTAACTTTGCATACCTTACACATATGGTCATCAATTACCAACAATTCGTGAATACTCGGCACAATTTTGTCACTCTCAAGAATTGATGTCACGTCAGAAAATGCATCCCAGTTATCAATGCCACGATAGTCACTAGATGTGCTATTATTGGTGTCGACACGAAACCATATATCCTCTAAAAAAACACTTTCTTCTCGGTCAGATGCAGGTGGTGCGGCCTTCGGGTAATCTATCGGTATTTCTTCAATCTGATACTTTAAGATAAACAGAATCGTTTATTTTTACCTTAAAATGCCCTTTTGATAACATTAGTACTTGTTCATAGCAAAGCAGGAGATAATTATGTTTGACAAAACTTATAGTATAATAATTATATTATCTACAACAGAAGAAGAAATAAAGATGCAACCAATAAATACCTTATACCTAATGGTACATATTTAAAAAATAAAAAGGACAATTGCCTTTCTATATGATATTTATAATAAAAAAGTGTCTTTGAAATGTTTACGTTTTTCTCATTGATAAATGGCTTTGGATATTCTTTCTTACATTTCAGGTCCATAATTAAATAGTAAAGTCGTGCTGTTTCTCAAATTGAATTCTTGGTGTGACATGGATGTAACTCATGTGGCATAAAGACGGAGTAACAACTGTTCGACATCAGCCCTCGACTACGGTGGTACGGGTGCGCGGGTGCGTGGGTCGAACGTATACAGGTCCGATACATTTTTAAGCGAGGTGAAATTGAAACTTCTTTATTTAATTAAACACTTAATTTTATCAATATATTCATGGCGTTGTACACAGTAATGTAAAGTGACTCTAGAAATGTGTCCAAATACTTCTTGAGCTATGCATAAACAAGTTGAAAATTGCAAATTTATACTCAGTCATGGGCAATAACTCTTAAAAAAAAACGAATAAATCCACATGCAAAACTTTAGTTGCATAGCTTCACAGTGATGTTGATCATTATTCTTGTAAAACTGGTTGATTCTAACTCAAGCACTCAAGGAACAAATAACTGAACATAATGGAACGGTATATACTAAGCCAAGGAAATAACTCTAGAAATACTGGATAAATCCACAAGCAAAGCGCAAGGTGCACAACAACACATGCTTACCATCATTCCTGTAAAGTTTCATGACCCTAGGACAAATACTATGTGTGACACAAGTTGAAAATTGCAAATTTTTTATTAAGTCAAGGGCAATAACTTTCACAAAACAAAACAAAAATCCCAGGTGCACTTTTTCACATGCTGAGCAACATTTCTGTAAAGTTTCATGACTGTAGGTCAAATAACTTTTGAGCTACGTGGGACACGAGTTAAAAATTGCAAATTATACTAAGTCAATGGCAATAACTCTACAACTACTGAATAAATCCACGCAACTACAACTACTGAATAAATCCACGCAAAATACCCAGGTGCACATTTACATATGCTGAGCCACATTCCTGTAAAGTTTCTTGACTCTAGGTCAAATACTTTTGAGTTAATTGAGACACAAGTTGAATTTTGCAAATTTTTACAAAGGACAATAACGCTACAACTACCAAATAATTTCACACGAAAATACTCAGGTGTACAACTTCACATGATGAGCAACATTCCTGTAAAATTTAATGACTCTTGGTCAAATACTTTTTGAGCGTCACAAAATGAGAACAGACGGAAGGAAGGACGGACGGAACGGACGAACAAGGGTTAATCTAAATCCCCCCCCCCCTAAAGTGGGGGCACAATAAATTTATGAATGAAGTTGTATGTTCATACGCTGCTATAAGAAAAAAATGCGTATTGAGAATATCTGTTTTCATAATTTCTGTTCCGAAAATTAAATTAGTATTGAATCTACACGAATTTAATATTCTATTTATCACATAATTATATAAAATAAGAACGGTAAACTGTTATCAAGAGTCATTTCTCATTGACGCGCCTATAGTGTAACACTAACATTAGCGCGCTTTAACGCTACGTGACGTCAAAGTGTTATTACACTAGTGTAATATCGTCTAGTGTAATATCGTTTTTGTATTTTCTGATCGTAAGATCAGTAAATACAGAGCTAACATCCACGGTCTAACACAAAATTTCCTTACAGTCCTAACAACGCAAAGTAGTTCTCACTCAAAACTGCTTAAAAACCAGCAATTTAAAAGAAAGAATATTTTTTAAGGTAGGTATTTAACGAATTACAGTGCATTAAAAGTTTAGATTAATCAATAGAAATATGAGGTTACAATCACAAATTTCGCGGATGAATATCTTTTTTACCCAATGAAAAATGTTCGGCTATTTCCGTAAAGCTTCGGATTATCATGAATATCATTTTAACCTCATTTAATACCTCGAAATTAATAAGGATTACAAACACGAAATGGAAATTCTCAATTTAGAATTACATAATGTATTCGTTTTTATACAAGGTTCATATGTATAACTTTGCCGTGGTGCAGAGGTAAGTGGTCTCGTTGAAGGTGTGAGAGACCTATGGTTCAAATCCTAGTCGAGGCCAATTCTATTTTTTTTTCATGCAAATTCCATATGTAAATCTCAAACTGTTATAGAAGAAAATCTAAACGCTGTCGCTGTGTAAGATGAATTATAGTATATAAAAATAAACTTATACAGGAAAGTACATACAGATAGTCAGTATGATTTAGATTGCAAAGATCAGAAAATACCATAGAGCTGCAGCCCTTTGATTATTAAATGGCTTTATTACATTCCTGTGCCGCGGTTTATGTGATAATCAATTTAATTGTATGATCTAAATATAGCTGCAATCTCATTGGTCCAAACAGTAGTCAACAGAACTTTTTATAAAATCATATTTACCGAGTGTAGCATCATATTCACTGGCTGAATTGGATTTTCCCAGTCTAAAAATAGATTGAGACTCATACACATAGACTGTTAACTACATGTGTTAATTAAAGAATAAGTGTTGCTTTTTGTTCTTTATGGCATATTTCTCGATTCAAATATCAATACTTTACTATTATACTTAAAGGGCTACACCGCAATGATGAGTATAAAGTTGAATTATTTTTGTATGCGCAGCGTTCGTGTAGTGGTTGCACGCCTAACACTTGCGTCTTTGTTCCCGCGTTTCAACAAGGCAAAATTTGTACATGTATATAAGGTTGTAATTTTTGTGATTTTTTTTTATTTCTTAGCCTATTCATATAATAAAACAATTATTGACCAGTGAGCGATTGAATATGATGTGATATTCACATCATATTGTCAATAATTGTATAATATCTCCTGCTCAGCATGCACTATATTGTTCGAACAAAAAGTACAACATAACAAACTGGCTCTTACCCATGTTTCAATCGGAACGTCCTCGGCTTCTATCTATAATAAACTCGGAAATAATACGGAGTGAAAGTAGTGGTTTCAAATGTATACATAAAAAAGTGTAATCTTCGATACTGTAAAACGTCATCCTAAAGAAAATTAAGTCTGTTCCGATACAATTATGATTGAAAATATGTCTGACAACCATTTTAATTTAAATATGCCTACTGATGTACAATTTTAAACAAATGCGGCTAAATGTCAACAGGTTAATTGGCATTTTGTACTTTTGGTTTTTACAATACACAAATAATGTATTGTTTTCTTTTTGTATCTATGAATTTACTTAGTTTAGGTGGGCATTTACTTAATATATTGGAAATAAACTTGTCAACAACTCCCAACATTAAATAACTATTTGTTTACATGTCTAGTTTCTACCGAAATGTCGTACGTTTCGAGGTCCTTATCCGAAGACTGACGGAAAGGGCCGAAAAGTTGCGATTGATGTTATTTGTCACTTTCCTCCGTCGTACCATTTTATCTCGCTTTTAAAAGTAATAGACCTTTATTCGTTCGACTCACTTGATTAACAATCCGATAAATTAATATAAATAAAGAATTTAGTTCAATTACTTCTTTGTCGTCGTAGACTCCTTCGTAATCTCTGTGACCATATACTTGATCATTGGTTTGTGTCGATACTTGATCATCGGTCTGTGCCGATACTTCATCATTGGTCTGTGTCGATACTTCATCATTGGTCTGTGTCGATACTTCATCATTGGTCTGTGTCGATACTTCATCATTGGTCTGTGTCGATACTTGATCATCGGTCTGTGTCGATACTTGATCATTGGTCTGTGTCGATACTTGATCATCGGTCTGTGTCGATACTTCATCATTGGTCTGTGTCGATACTTGATCATCGGTCTGTGTCGATACTTGATTATCGGTCTGTGTCGATACTTGATCATTGGTCTGTGTCGATACTTCATAATTGGTCTGTGTCGATACTTCATAATTGGTCTGTGTCGATACTTGATCATTGGTCTGTGTCGATACTTCATAATTGGTCTGTGTCGATACTTGATCATTGGTCTGTGTCATAACTTGATCATTGTCTGTGTCGATACTTGATCATCGGTCTGTGTCGATACTTCATCATTGGTCTGTGTCATAACTTGATCATTGGTCTGTGTCGATACTTGATCATTGGTCTGTGTCGATACTTCATCATTGGTCTGTGTCGATACTTCATAATCGGTCTGTGTCGATACTTCATCATTGGTCTGTGTCATAACTTGATCATTGGTCTGTGTCGATACTTGATCATCGGTCTGTGTCGATACTTCATCATTGGTCTGTGTCGATACTTGATCATTGGTCTGTGTCGATACTTGATCATTGGTCTGTGTCGATACTTCATCATTGGTCTGTGTCGATACTTCATCATTGGTCTGTGTCGATACTTGATCATTGGTCTGTGTCGATACTTCATCATTGGTCTGTGTCGATACTTGATCATTGGTCTGTGTCGATACTTCATAATTGATCTGTGTCGAATGTGAGGAGCATAAAACACCCATAGCTCTCACAACTCATAAACTGTTTACGTCACCCACATCTATAAATCAACAAAAATTGTTACATGAAAGTTACATTTCATATCTTGCAAAAAGTTTTGAAATACTTATCCTATACATAGCGAGGAAATACTAATTCGACAAGTGGCTGAAATTACATATTTTTTTGACAATATTGTTTGGTTTTGACCTGAGAGCGTTGTTTAGTAAGTTTTCGTTATTTATAACGACTTTCGGTTTATTCTAAATATACTTTAAAATTGGTAATTGACTGAATTGTAATCTGGGTCCTTATCTAGCATTGTTCTGTTCGATTCAACTTAAATTTATCTTTTATCGCGAGCTCGAAGGGCCTGCTCGCAAAGCAAGCTTAACGGTAACGCGAGTACCTGCTAGAAAGTGATGGTTTTGAAAACTTTCGTCCGAAGTACTGAATTGACACATCGCAACGTTTCGAATTACAAGATAACAATAAAAGCCGAGGTCTTCTGATTGGAAACGGAAGTGTAGACTGGTGTCCTGCGCACTTACAAAGTAAATCGAGCTCGCTTTGAGGCTTTGCCTTTTTCATATTAATGATCTGGGAAATAAATCGGATCAAAATTTAACCGCTTTGGCTTATTTTTATTTGTCTATTTTTATCAAATCATGTTGCACTTATCATATGGTATACATGTTTTTAATGGCTGACTCCCAGCAAACACAAGACGTTGACACAACGTTGGATCAACGTTTAAAATTGGTCGCGACATCGGCGACCTTCACACAACGTCAAACCAACGTTGAAATCCCGACGTCTAACAAACGTTTCATTTTGACGTTTGGTCGGTAATCTCACAATAGGTAAATTTAATATATAAAACAAATATATAAAGGATATTTGTTTGTTTGGCATTCACATCATCATGTTTGAAATATAGTTCTGTTAAATTTCTCTAATTTTGTAACATTTTGAACATTATGTATGATGACATTGACTTTCTTTTCCTAGAGAAGCAAATATACGTATGACAGCATTTATTTCTGCCTGTTATTCCATTTAGTTATGATTTTCTTTTTATCCGCATTGAGATATAGCAAGGCTACAGTGAAAATTATATGTTATAAATTTCACTAGTGGTTTATCAGAATATAATAATCTGATATATTACAGTTAAACACTGGAAAACATGAAATAAAAATAGAAGCATAAACAGCGAGAATTTAAAGTTTGTTTAGAAAAGGGAATTAAATTATACATTTATGTGTCCAATCAAAACAACAACAGTGCCACATGGGTGGCTACCGTACACTATTCGATAGGTGGCGCTCAGTAAACGGATGATTTCTAAGTAACTACACAGCTACACTTGTTTGGCCAGTGTCGTGCATTATATGGCAGCTACTTCTTTTATGTTTAAATATATGACATATTATAAAGTTGACAACAATGACGTGCCTTTACATTTTCCTATTATTTGCCGTTTTCATTCCCTTCTATAGGTAGTCAAAGTGATAATAATCTTGAAAATGGTGAGAATATGTCACCATGGCTAAAGTAGAATATTCAAAGACAATTTTTGTAAATTAACTTAGGTCCAAGTTTCAACAATTTGATATAATACAGGAGATATGAAAAGTAAAGGTCATAGAAACGTTATGGTGGGATAACCAAAAGGGTCTTAACTCATTTTCTTAGACAGTTTCGGGGAGTCTACCGGTTTTATTCTTTAATGAAATTGTCCAAACGTATTTACTTAAAAAAAAAAACATCGGTAATTTTCAGGCAGAACTTTGAACCTTTTTATTACATGCTTTTCGGTGGTTTATAGAAATATATCAGTGATATAAAACTGGTAATTTCACTGTTTGAAACAGTGAAATTACCACTTTGATAATTTCACTGTTTTGAATTTAAGCCCCTTACGTTGTTTCAGTGAAATACCAGCGTACACAGTACTGGGTACCAACTTAATGACGTGACGTCGTAAATGACGTCACGTTCTATTATTATTTGGCGCGCTTTTCATTCAGTATTAGGTATAATGTCTATTTAAAACGTTTCAATGCATATAATAAAAGGAAAATTTGTTTAGTTTAGTGTAAGATCGAAATATATTTCACCTTGTGAACACCAAAAGCTGCGCCACTCGTGAAATATACCTTTTGCTGCTCACTCGGTGAAATATATTTCGATCTTACACTGAACTAAACAAATATCCTCTATATAATCTTTATAAAATGCTTGCGTATCAACGAAATCAACAGACCAAGTATCATCAATATACTCCGCAACTTCGCTCCGTTTTTGTTTTAAAATAGTCGGTTTGTGTAATTCTGACGCTAATTCGTCACTCCATCATATTTCAGTAAAATTTTGAATTTACTATCCTGCAATAATTTATACTTATTTAATAAATACTGTATGCTATTATATGAACCACCTTTCTCTTCTTTTTCTTTGTACAATACCAGTATGATTTTCCCAAATCCTTTTTATCAGTATTTACTTTGTCCATTATTCCAGGAAAGATCCATTTACTGGTGATTCAAGAACTTTAGGTTCAACCATTTTGCTACTTTTATGTAAATATTTTGATAATACATTGTAATAGTATACATATGTTCAAAAAAGCAATAAAATATGTATAAATTAAGTAATGAGATATATTAGAAACTCAGAATCATTAATGAATGTATATACGATATTCATTTGCTTTACAAAAAGGAGTTTTCATTTTCCTCCTTGTACCTTCTTTCAATCTACAAAGTAAAAATGTATAATTACATATACATTTGAAAAATATTTAAATTGAACCTTAAAGACTCTACAGAACGTAATATAATTTTTTTAACAAACTTGCATAGATATTTTTATTTTACTTACAAATTGTTAGATGTCCCGTTTTCAGTTTTTCAGTCGAATCCTTTTTGTAATCGGGGAAAATGATTTTGAGATAGGTTTATTGAATTGTTTCAATTTTAAGGGGTTTTTTATCTACGAATATTTGTGTCCTTAATATAAAACTTATCTTTAAGAATATTGATCGTCCTTTATCACATGGCAAGTAAGACATTTAGACCCCATGCCTTCTCGAACCCTTGGTACTTAGACTCCTTTTTACATGACATTTCGAACCCTATCTTTAGAATCATAACATGAACCTATTTGTTTTAAAACTTATATAATATTATGATGGTGGCAGTTTTGTGCCATGTCATATTTTTCCCCCCAAACAAAAATTCGCTCTGGTGAAAACACAAAAATACGACTAACTAAGCGATCACTTTGTCGTTATTTCGTGCTTTAGGCTTTAAGTCAAAATGATGAAAATGCGACAAAGTTTGATCAACCGCCATACTCAAATTACTCATAAGACACTTGAATCCATACTGGACACGTAAAGTTTTGTAAAGTTTTATTAACAGAAAAAAAAACACAACTGAACATTAAACTTGAGCTTTATCTGCCTAATGGCTTTACAGGACCGAAATAAAAATATACCAAGGAGATTTTGGAGTAATAATATCTGTCATATTTTGCGGTTCGGATCGGAATATCCGTCCCGAGGTGACCCGCCCATTGGGCGGTAACGAGGCTTGCCGAGTTACCGCCCATGGGCGGGTGACCTAAGGAACGGATATTCCGATCCGAACCGCAAACATATGTCAGATATTTTTTCTTGCATATTCTATCATATTCCATTATATTTTTAATTCTTTATCTTTATTTTCAATGAAAATTTATATCATTACAACCGTAACTACTTTCATTCAACAGCGTATGAATTACAAAATCATTCATAACGGTAAAATGACGTCATCTTTATCGTGCCATTGTACAGCACGCGACTCATCTGGAACCCCCTATGCCAGACGAAATTTCCGGCATGGGTAAAACTAACGGAAACGCCAGTCTGATATGCAAGAAAGCATATTCTTGCATATCAGATTGGCGTTTCCGTGAGTTTTACCCATGCCGGAAATTTCATCTGGCATGGGGGGTTCCAGATGAGTCGCGTGCTTTACAATGGCACGCTTAGGATGACGTCATTTTACCGTTATGAATGTTTGTTGTAATTAATACGCTGTTGTAAGAAAGTAGTTATACGGTTGTAATGATATAAATTTTCATTGAAAATAAAGATAAAGAATTTAAAATATAATCGAATATGGTAGAATATGCAAGAAAAAACATCTGACATATGTTTGCGGTTCGGATCGGAATATTCGTCCCTCGGTGACCCGCCTATGATATGACCAATATTGAAGGTTTGTGGATGGACCAATCGGAACATCTCAGCTATTATTTATAATAGCATCAGACATAATAGTTGTGGGTATAAACAATAACAGAGAGTGTAATCTTTGATAATGTATAACGAATTTATATCCTCGACATCAGAAGGAAAATAAAGTCGATTCCGGTACAATTCAGATTGAAAACATTGATAATTACTAAGTTAATCCATTTAAAAATGTCCACTGATAAACAAATCCGAACAGGTCGACATTTTGTACAAACATAATAAAAAGTATGTAAATAATGTACTGTTTACTATTATATCTATAAGAGTACTTAATTTAAATGGACTTCTTGATAGATATTGGAATAAACTTACGCATTGATTTATTATTTGTTTACATGTCCCATCCCATACCATCCATTTATAAAAATATAAAGGGATGGATTTTTTTAATCGGACTTCACTGCTATTATTGACCAAATTTCATGTTCCTGTAACAAAGCTTGTTTCAGTGCCTTTTAGAATTCTAATTCTATTTGACTTGGACAAGATTAAAATAAAGAATTTGCTCGATTGAATTGTCGATAATTACTCCCAAATACAGAGTGTCATTCCTATGTTTGGCTTTGTTTTGTTATATTAGATTAGATAATAATTAATTTACTCTCGATCAAAGGGAGAGAGAGAGTAAATTAACCTTACATTGTACACGTTGTTGCGAGAAATTAAAACCAAACTGTTGTAAAGGGCTAGTGTATACTGTTCAACCAAGGCAGAGCAACTCCCCTTTCTTTCTTTTTGCGGGGATGATGGGGGCAAAGATTTTGATTGTTACTGCGATCTGTTGCTCTACAGATGTTAAATTTATGGCAAATACTTGCCATGGACGGATAATTTCGATATTATTGCTATAAAAAGGTTATTGCTCTACCAATGCCCACTCTGCATAAGCTGCATTGTACTACTCAGTGGCCTACTACCATCTGTAAACTAATATCATGTGTGATCAGTTGCGTTTAGTTCAAACAGTTTCATTGAATATGAAGCCATTACTTTAAAGTCATACTCTTTTATCCATTCCTGGAACCAACAACCAGCGATAAGCAAGGACTATATTTTCTTGCTCAAAGAAATGAATTGCCTCTGATAAGGCTTGAGCCTATTCAAGATGTTGACCATACAACCATGCCGCCATTTTTTTTACTATGTTTGGTATAAGTATACAATTTGTTATATTTACAAGAGCAATATCATTGATCACAAGAGCCAATTAAGCACTTGAATTGAGGGATGATTGCACAGTTTGTTCCCTACATGTCGCGGCTACTTTGTAGCATGATGTAGCTTTTGTGTAGCAGAAAACACAAAAAATCATTAACGCCTTTTTTTTTAATTCAAGGGCCATGACTCAGCCAAAAACCATTCAACTGTAAAACCTGTGTAATATGGCAAGTGCTTGAGGTTGTTGTTTTTTTGTTGTTGTTTTTTTTTTTTTTTGGGGGGGGGGGGGAGGGGGGTTACGTCGCACCGACACAGTATAGGTCATTTGGCGACGTTCCAGGTTTACTGGTGGAGGAAGACCTCAGGTGCCCTTCCTTGCATTATTTCAGTCATGAACGGGCACATGAGTAGAACCACCGACGTTCTGTAAGCTAGCTGGATAGCTTCCTCACATGAAAGAATCCAAAGTCCCTGTCGGGATTCGAACCCACAGCGGTGAGGGGCAAGTGGTTTGAAGTCAACGACCTTAAACACTCGGCCACCGTCGCCCCATGTGCTTGAGGTAACAATCCTGTAAAGTTTCATTCAAAGTGCATTAGTGGTACACGAAAAGTAGTCCAGATTCATACTTTAAAGTCATTAAAAAGCTATAACTTTGACAAAAACCATTGAACTGGAAAATGCAGATGACACAATTAGATTTGGTACTGATCATTCCTGTAATGTTTGGATGAAATTGCACCAGTAGGTTTCAAGGAATAACCCAAACATTTTTTGTAATGGACAGACAACTGCCACCACTACTTTGTAGCACACAAACACAAAAAGTGAGTCAAAATATCATAATAAAATAATACTATTTTTTTTATTTTGGAAAATAACAAGGTAAATATAAATAAACATTGTAGATAAGATAGAAAAACGATACAAAATAAAGAATAACAGAGAAAACTACTAAAGAAAAATATATTTTAACATTGTAAATTGTTATAAAAATCTACTAAATGAATCAACCTAATACAGTATTTAATTGCTGAATCTACACTGGTGGCTATAATCATTGTTGCTATTTAGGTTTTAAAGTAAACAGCATTTTCCATTATGTGCAAGTGTACTTGCTTAATAGTCATTGTTCAAACGATACAAATGTTAATTTGTAGGGAAAGCATATAGCAGTTCAACATAAAAACGTCCTTGTTGAGCTAAACTTAGCATACTGTGGTTGTCTACAGCATCAGAATAAATCTTTGAAATCTTAAGTTTCTTAACATAAAAGTATAAACAGCTTAATTTTCATTAATCTTGTCTTTTTTTCTTTGGTTTGGTTTTATGTTGCACCAACACAGTATAGGTTATAATGGCAACTTTCCAGGTTAACTGGTGGAAGAAGACCTCAAGTGCCCTCTACATTATTTCAGGCACAAAGGGGCGGGCACCTGAGTAGAACCACCACCCATGTTCCGTAAGCTAGATGGAAAGCTTCCTTAAATAAAGAATCTAAAGTCTCTGTCAGGATTCAAACCCACAGCAGTGAAGGACAAGTGGTTTGATGTCAAAAACCTTAACCAGTCGGCCACAGTCTTGTTATCTTTCAAATTAGAGTAGACATTTCACAATCAAAGCAAGATCAGTTAATGTGTACATAAAATCATTAATGTTAACATAGCAAATACATGAATACAAACTATGACATAAAGGCATATGAAATTATACATCTACTTTTTCCTGGTTTGGTCTTGCAGACTGATAGCAGAAATTTTTTATCAAGTGAAGAAACAAGAAAAAACCTCCTTAAAATAAACAGGCACCCGTATCAAAACATTGTCTATGGACAAGTGAGAAGTATATCTCCCATACATGAAAGAATTCAAAAATATTATAATAAATGAAATAAATATTGTATAAATATTATAATGACAAATCATTGAAAATATGTTTGAAGTATTAATATGAACTTCGTATACAATGAATATACCAGTAGAATGTTATTAGGGTTATGATTCATATTTAAAGCTGCATGCCTCCAGATGAGTCAAACAATTTCAAGAAAACCAACCTTGGATAACCCTGATAACCATGGAAGTAAAAACGTTCAAAACTTACCAGTTATATGCATACAAAATTTTATGTTCAAAGCAAAAAAAAAAAACTTTTCAAAATTTAAACATGGGGAAATTTTTGTTCACTAAACCATCACTTTAAAAAAATCCCCAAAAATTTAAAACCCAAACAATGCAAAACAAAATTTAATAGGGATAAAGAAAAATTTTAATTTTTACATTTTTGGGAACCCCTTTATTTCTCTACTTTGGCCCTTTTAAAAATTTATTTTTAAACTGGAAGTATGCATTTTTTAAAGCTAATAAAGGTGTACAGAATTCAGGAGTGTACAGAAAAAAAGGGGTCTACCCAGGGGGTTACAAAAGTATTTTTTTCAAATCCAAACCCGGGAATACAGATTGCCCAACAAAATCTTCCATTGCCCTAACCAGCATCAATATATTTTAAATGACCCTTCTTGTGTAACTTTGAGGTAGAAAATGGGCCCCCTTTCAAACCCTGTGGCTAGGAAGTTTGCACTTCTTTCCCCTTTTTTCTGCTTCTGATATGAACGGCAAAATCTTCTTCGCCTCATCATTTCCTTTCTGGATGATTTCATTGGCTGAAAAAAAAATGAAACAAAAAATTCTCTTAGTGCTAGCTATAATAGATCTATATATTCTCATAAAATTTGGGTATGTATTTTCTATGGATGAAATATAAGTTTGCCATTTGTTATAGGTTGGAAAATGATTATTTCTTAGGCCATCAGTATAGTGCTAGGAGGCAAAAAATCTTGTGCAGTCTGACCAGACTCTATCTACTTAATTGTCATCTTTGATATCTTCTCCAAAATTGATAATGGACAAGTTCCATATAATAGAAAGATGGATATGTCCATTTAATATAAATAGGTTTTTGATTTGTTTTCATTTTACAAATTAAACAACACAGTATAGGTCATATGGGCGCCGAAAACAGGAAAAACGATTTTGGGGTAACCTCGGGTGTTACAAATTTCAAAGAAAAACCAGGGGTCAAAAGCATTTTCACCTGCTGCAGCTAAGAGATGCGCATAGACTCCAGCTATTCAAACCCAATTTAGTTGTCTGTTTATGATTCTGTTAGGGATAAACGGGGGCTGCAATTTTTTACCCCAAAACAAAAAAAGGGGCCAAACCATTTAAAAGAGGCTAAGGGGTAAAGTATATAAATTTGTACTGACAGGTTCATGAATTTAAACAATTTTAAATAAACCTCAAACAGTATCAGTCTAAAATGAGTAACAGCTTATAGGAATCCTTACCTTCATTTTTTATTGCCATGGTTAGCTTTTCTGTATTTTTCTTGGTGACAGCATGTTCTTGTAAAAAGAACTCTTTTTCCTTCCGGACCTTTGAAAGAATTAAAGTGATAAATCAATGAATGTAAAACATTGTTTACATAGTCTGCAACATTTCTCACAAAATTTTTTTAAAAAGGGAAACCCAAAAAAATACACAGTTTTCAAAAAGGGTATAAACAAAGAAAAATTGGGGAATTTGCAAAAAATGAAAGATAAAATTTTATAAAATTTAATGTGAATTTAAAATATAAAATCCCTTTTGTTTAAGGTTTTTAAGTAATTAAAAAACAGAAAAGGCCATTTTTTCCAACCCTTTTAACGGTTGGGGAGGTTTGGTGTTTTTCCCTAATTTTTTAAAGGGAAACAAACGCCCCGTTGAGTAAAACCCCAAAAAATTTCCTAAAGCTTGGTTGGATAGCTTTTTTTTTTCCTTGGGAAAATAAAAACCCCGCTTTAAACCCCAACCAGGGGGTTAGGGAGGGGTTTTTAAATAACCGACCCAAAACCCGCATTTGGAGGATAAAAATTTAATTAAATTTTTAAAAAAGGTTATGAAAAAGGGGAATGTGAAAATGTTTTTAAAACTTTCACAGTCCCCTTTAAAAAAAAATTGGGAAGAAATGAAAAATTTGATTTTCTTTTGGGTGACAAAAAAATTAATAAAATAAATTCAAAAAACCCATATGTTGCAAGGGAACCCCAATGTATCCCGGACCTTAAAACCCCTTTGCCCCCGGTTACAAAATTTTCACCCCCCAAATTTTTGGAAACCCCAAGACCCAATTTTTTGGATAAAGATAGATTGGGTTAAAAAAGAATTACAATAAAATTGTTCCGAAAAATTTTTTGTGAAAAAGGGGCCCTTGGTGATCACCCCCTGTGACCTCTATTTGAGTCAAGTGGGGCAGAGAACATTTGATGCATGAATTTTAAAAAATTTGGGGGGGCTGTATGTAAAAATTTAAAACTAGGGTTTCAAGGAAAGGGTTTGAAAAAAACAACCCTTAAACAGTAAACCCTCCAAATTCCCCCTGGGGGCCCTTAAAAAAAAATTTAAACGGGGGGGAAAAAATAATACCTCAAAGGAAGGGTTTTTGGTAAAAATTTTCTCTCAAATATTTCATTGGGGAGGGATAAAAGAGAGCAGAGGAAAGAATCTAACATCAACATGAAAACCCCGGGCCCAAAGCTTAAATTTCTTAATGTTGAACAGTATTTAAACTCTGGAAATATTTTTCCTTTACAAAAATCGGGGCCCAAACAGTAAACCTTTGAAAAGTTTAAAATTTTAATTTAAAGCCATACCCCCAATAAACCCAGCAACAGTCTCATTACAAGAAAAAACCCCTGAAAAAAGTCGGCACAAATATTAAAAGCCTTTTTCCCCCCCAAACTTAAAAAACCCAAATGACCCGAAAAGAAACTGACTGACAAAACATTTAAAAAATCCACTCATTTCCCTCCCTTTCCCTTTTGAGGTGGGGATTTTTAAATGAATTAAATTTAAATTTTTCATTAAAAGGGGTAGGGGACATCTTTTTTATCATTTTTTTTTTTAAAATTATTATTATTATTATTATTTTTTATAAGGTAGACAACCCTTACCTCCAAGTTCTCTTTCTCAGCCTACTTGCATCTGCGTCTCTACATATTCCGGGTTTAACCGGAAATTATCCACCCTCAATTTATGAAACCAGCTAAATTAAAGATACTGGTTTCGAATAAATTTTTGGAAAAACATTGTTAATCTACATAAACATGGTGAATAACCCTTCCCCCACTTCTGGTGGTCTGTAGAAAAAATACAAGGGATTGGAAAAAAAAATAAGCTTATTTAATAACTTTCCCCTTTACCCCTTTACAAAAACAAAAAATTTTTTTAGGTTTATAAAAAATTGTTTTTAAATACATTTGTACTTTATTTAAAAAATTTTGAAGACATTTTCCCGAACTTTAAAAATTTAATTTTTAATTTTCCCAAATTTCTATAAATTTATTTTAGTTTTAAATGTGATGAAACCTTGAAATTTTTTAAGGAGGGTTGCTTTTTTGCAGCTTTCCAAAAGGGAAAAAATGACTTTAGACCCCAGTTTAGCTTAAACCATAAACCCCGCTGTTAAAATACCCTTTAAAAATTTTAAAAATTTCACGTGCAAAACAGGGTTTTTCTTAACTTTAGGCGCGGGGATGGTTTTAGCTACTAAAGGGCCCAAAGGGTTAAGGGAAAGGGGGGTAAAGGCTTCAGTTTCAGGTTAATAAACCAAAACAATTTTTAACTGGGCCCTTTAAAAAAGATGTAGCTCCAGCTGAGGCAAGGGAAATTTGGCTTAAAGGGAAAAAAACAGGGGATGGGTTGGGAATATACATGGTAAAGGGTTTAAGGAACTGGGCATGGGAATAAAGAAAAGGATTTGAATTAGGCCGTAAAAAATTTTGACCGTAAAATGGGAAGGGGGGGGCTGAGACGGGTGGTTTCTTGAGGTTGGGCTGGGCAGAGTTTTAGCACTTTTTTGATTCAAAATTTAAATGTCAAATATTTTACCTGATAAAATAATGCACACTGAATCTTATAGTTACAGCTATGGTATCTAACGTGAAGACACTCATTTCATCTATTATGTTATGTACCGATCCAGTAAAAAAAGATGGCTTTTGTCCCGGGCCCAGGAAAATAAAAACCCGGATAGTAAAAATGTATCCCCTTCCCACTACATTAGTCATCTTTCTCTGTGCTAAGGCAAAACTTTAAATTGAAAAATTTTCATGTAATTATAATTTTTGCAAAAAATCCTACTGAAAATTTTTCTTATTGTCTTAAAACTTTATACCTGAGTGGGTTTAAATTATATTTGTCCCAAAGAAATTGTTCCATTTTTTTAAATTTTGTTATAAAATTTTAAATTTTTTTAATCTGCAAAAAAGTTGTCATTTTTTTTTTATTTCCTTAAATCTTTCTTATCATACTTGCTCTGTGTAAATTTAAAAATAAATTTTGAAACTTTTAAGTAGGTTAGTGGGTTTGGGCCAAATCACCAAATTTATCATTAAAATGGGCAAACCTTTATATGCCTGCCCAAAAAATTTTTAAATTTTTTTAACAAGGGCCCCACAAAAAAGTTTGTTAAAAAATTCATTTTATTAAATTTTTATTCTTTTAATAAAATAGTTTAAACCCCTTTTAAAATTCCCCCTTTTTTTTAATTATAACAATTATAACAACAAAAAAAATCATATACAAGGGAAATTTTTTAAAAATTCTAAAAGGTCAAAACATGAAAATCAAATTAAACATTTTTAATAAAAACCTTGTAAAAAAAAAATAAATTTAAATAAAATTTTTAAAAGTTTAATTAAAGGTTATAAAACAATTATTTTAATTTATTAATTTTTTACATTATGTAATTTTAGAGGGGAAGGAAACCAATTAATTGGTTTTCCCGGGAAAAAGGTTAGCCAACCCCCATTTTTAAATTTTTTGTATTTATCCTCCTTTTTAGAACTTAGACCTTCAAAATTTAAAAAAAACCCCGCAGTTTGATAATTTAAAAAAAAAATATAATTTCAATTTACTTCCGTTGACAAAATGATATTAACCCTTGACTTACTTTTGTCTCATTTCATCATTCTCTCTAAGAACCCTCCGTAGGGATGTCATATTTATTACATGTAAAAGCAGACTGTAAATTTTCTCGCGGGACAAGATTAAAAACTACCTGGTGATTAAATCTATGTAAAAACAAAACTAGCGGGGGGAACAAAGCTTGACAAGACAAGAGGAGACCATTACGACGATAATTGAGGGCGGAGAACAAGATCAGACGATTTAGAGACTGTCGTCGTGTAGGAAACGGCAGAATTCTTGTCATTTGGCTCATCGAGTGGACCCCATCCTGAGCATGTATACTCTTCTCTGAAATAAAAATTATGTGATTTTTAAGTCTGTTTTAAAAAATATGTTTATATAAACAAATGTTACATAAAATATGTATAGAATTTACATTGTAACATAAATGAATTATCTTTTAAATACATTAGAAGCTTAATAAAAATCTTTTTACCTATTCATTTCAACAACAATAAATAAACTATAGCTAAACATATTTATATAGATCTTATGTGTTCTTTGAAACGAAACATAAAAAAAAAAATCAACCAAGCAACAATTATCATGTGTAGACTAAGCAGCAGATTGCCTTCACTTGGCCTGACACATTAAGTACAAGAAGAAAAAAAATCACTTTTTGAATGTTTTCCCCTTACCTGTGCCTACCCTCCTCTATCTCCATGGGTTCAAACTCGGCAGCAGGCGGTGTAACTTCAGGTGGTGCTACCCTTTCACCATTCTTAGGTAACTGAAATGTACAAATTAAATTTCATTGATAAATACTCAAGATAAACGATAGTTGTACATAGCATTGTAGGATCTTACACAAGTCATTTCACTTAAAATTACATATAAAAACTTTACAAATTTATAACCAATGTTTTTTTTCCCGGAAAGTTTTTGAAGCAGACAAATTTGGGGAAATTTTTCATAAATTTTTGGTGTCGTTTTAAAGTATACTTTTTCCCCACTTGGATAAAAAAAAAAATTTTCTGGGAAAAAATTTTTGACATCTTTTGGGGAAAATTTTTCCTGCATATGTCTAATTTAAATAAGGAAATGCACAACTATGTTTAGGAGAAACTGAATTCCCTATTACTGGTTAAGTAAATTTAGTCCTTTCCTATAGAATCTGCCACTTTTTTCATGGCACTTTGCATTCATACTGTATTTTACCTAAAAAGTATTATGAGTAGATTTTAAATTATAACATAATTTTATATAATATAACATAATCTTCTCTCTGTTTAATCAAAATATTTCTATTTATTTAAAAATATTGCAATTATCATTATTTTAAAACATTAAATTTGAGCTTAATTAAATATCTTTAATGTAGGTCTACATAAAATGTAGGATTAAGATTTTTGTTACAACATGTTAGTATTAAGCTAGACAAGAGGGACATAATGTCCTAAGATTGCTCACCTATTATCAATTGCTAGAACAGGTCAGAATTCTTCAATGCAGAAATATGTTGATGGGTAGCATTAGGAAGGGTATTTTTTCTCCAAAGGGCCATTATTCATCATTCAATATAGTAAAAGTTTTACTTGGCAAAGCTACAAACCCAAAAATATCAAAGATTTTCAAAGAAAAGTCTCAATAAGAAATTTGTTTTCTTTAACAAATGTTTACTTGAGGTTATGACAAAATTTTTTTTTTCCCGGGCAATGGGCTCAATTAAAATTGGGAAAGGGCCCCACCCAGGGAAAAAAAAATAATTTAAAGCTTTAATAAATCAAGTTTAGGAGTTTGAAGATTAAAATGTTTTTTTCTTTGTAAGTCCCGAATTAAAATTTAAAAGGAAACCCGAGGGCAGGGAAATTTGGGATCTCCAAAGGGGGGGATGATTTTTATCACTTTTTTTATGGTTCCCCAAAGAAGATAACTTTAAAACAAAAAAACAAACTCATTGTAGAGTTTTTAACATTTTTTTTAAAATCTGTTTTTTTTAAGATTAAAATAAATACCCCCAAAAAAAGGGCCATTTTTCCCCAGGGGGTTTAATAATTAAAAAGAATTAAATAATTTTTCATTATCTAGCCCCAAACAAAGTTTAAGTTTCACAAAAGTGGGTATGAATGGTTTTCTTTTAAGTCTATAAAATACTAATTAAAAATTCATCAAAAAGGGCCTTTTGATTCCCGGGCAAAAATTTCAATTTAAAAAAGGAAATTTTTAAAACAAAATTTTTATTTTTAGTCTAGGGAAAATAGGGGGCCCCCCCGGGGAGTCCCCTTTTTTTGAAAAAACATAACTTATAAAGTTAGGGTTCAAAATATAACAAAAAATCTAACCCCTGTCATTGCCCCTTTTTAAAAAAGGGAAATTTAAAGTGTATTATGTTAAAAAAAAAAAACAAAAACCAAAAAATCAGGTCATTTACAAAAAAGCCACCTTTGAGCATTTTTTTTTTAGGAGCAAGGTTTTATTTTTTTTTTAAAATGCTAAAAAAAACCCCAAAATCAGTATTTTAAAACTAAAGATGTTTCAAAAATTTTTTTTATAAAATATAAAAACAAAACTTTAATTTGGTTTTAAAATTTTTTCATATTTTAAAAATATTCTAACAGAAAGACTCTTTAAGTAAATATGCTCTCCCAATTCCTTATTACTTTCAGAAGCAAATCATAATCATAGTATAAGAATTGTATCTCTTATTTTTTATACAACAAAGATTTTATTTTTTAGTGCACATATTGCTGGTAGTGTTATGCAAAATATCACAACTATATTAAATGAATATATTAATTAATTAATATGCATGAAAATACATGACAAAAAAATATTGCAGATTATCTTCTTCAACTAATATTACATTGTGTACTTAAAGTGGTTTAAGCTGTATTTCAGGTAACAAAAATTTGTTTGTACTTTGAAAAAAATAATTCTAAAATGTCCGTTTGAAAGAAATATTTTGATCTATTTCCTTTAGAGTGAATGCCGCGTGCAGAAAATAATTGCTTTACTGAAAAATAAACCTACTCAAAATAGCAGTTTAACATTTTATTCCAGAACATTTAATTCCTTTAAAGAACAGGTTTACCCATATATAGTTTTCCAAGATATGACCTGCTTTCAATAGTTTACCAAGTCATTGTTTCAAAAGTTGAACAAAGACATAACATTGTTTCTATAGCTTTCCAAGACATAACAAATGTTGATGTTGAGGAAGTATTTATTCCTGACTTATGTCTATGGACAAGAGGCTTTTAAATGAAAAAAAAAACTAACTAAAGCTACAATAACATATGGGAGAATTGTCCTCTCTAGTTAATATTGATGTTAAAACAGTAATAAAGTAAAGAAAAACAAAAACAAGAGTGCCGGATTGTCTCAAACTACACCTGTCACAAACCCTCAATCTTGTAAAAGTGCACATTTACATTAAAATCCCAAAATTCATAATCACTCAATGATCATGAATACTTACATCATTCTGACCCTTAAACCTCTGCATGGACCGGGGCATTACCATAGGGGGCCTTAAAATTTGAAAAACATTTTGGGCCTTTACAATTTTGAACATTTTTTTAAAACCCCATATGTAGTAGAAAATTTCCACAGGGCAAGGGGTTTTTCCCCCCTTTTGTACATAACCCAAAATTTTTCATTGAGCCCAATTTTTGGGACATTTTTGCCCGGGTTTTACAAGTCCTCAATGCATGTAAGGGAAATTTTGGTTTAAAAAACTTTTCATTTTAAACAAAACTTTTTTCTTTTTTTCAAACAACCCCAAATATAGGTATATGGCCGGGCTTTTTCCCGCAAATTTCTGGTTTGGGGGAAAAACCAAAGGGGCCCCTTTTTGATTATTTAAGGGCCTTTAAAAAGGCACCGGGGGTAAAACCAAACCCCAATTCCAAAGCTAAAATGGAAAAGCTTTTTTCCATAAAAAAATAAATTTCCCCGGGAGGATTTTAAACCCCCTGGCAGGAAAAGAATTTAAAATCAACTGGAACACCCCGCCTGAAATGCCTTTCTTCCCACAAAAAGGGGAAATTTCCCCTTTTTTTGGGCCCCATTTTTAAAAAAGGCTATAAAAAAAGGCAAAAAAAAAAAAAGCTATGTGAGAAGCCCTTTAAAAAAATAATAAGTAAAAGTAATTTTAAATAAATTTTAAAAATTTTTTTGCCATAAAAACTTTTTTTTCACACATAACCTTTTTTGTTACAAAAAATTGGGAAAAAGCAAAAAGTTTTTTTTTTAAAATAACTGATTTCAAAATATTTTTAAAAAATTTCACCAAAACCTTTTAATTATTAAATTTAAATTTTTGCCAAATCCTTTTAAACTAAAAAGGTTTAATTTTTGTTAAATCCTTAAATGTTAAAAATTTAAAAAATAAACTTTAATAAATTTTAAAAAGTAAAAAATTTAAGTTCCCTTTAAATTTTAATTTTTTCTTAAACTGAATTTTAAAATTTTTCAATATTTTTTAACCCTTACAAAAAACGTAAATTTAAGGCATAAACCCCAATTTTCTACAACAGTAATTTATGTCATAAACTATAACTTACTAAAACTGTAATTTAAGACATAAACTTTAAGTAACTAAAAGAGTAATTTATGTCATTAAACTCAATTTACTTAAACTGTAATTTATGTTACAATTCTTAACTTACAAAAACTGTAATTTAAGACATAAACCTCAACTTACTACAACAGTAATTTATGTCATAAACTATAACTTACTAAAACTGTAATCTAGTAACTTTAAAGCATAAATATATTGTTTAAAATACATTGTACAGATATGAATGCTAAAACTAAGTGGGTTTACCACAAAAGTAACCACTTTTAAACTAGGTTAATATACACATAACAGATGGTTAAAACAGAAAAACACTATACAGTGCAGATGAAACTAAAACTCTCTCTACAGACCAATATAAAGACAAGAAACAAACATACCTCCAGCATATGTCTAGAAGTCTATTAAAAATGAAGATAAACACATGCACATAACAAAGTTAAATACAGAATTTAATGAAAAAACAACCTCAACATCCTGCATGCTTATTACTTATATTATCAGCAACATTCAGTAAACGTGATACCTCTATTAGTATTTTAAAGTATAGAAGAAAGTCAGCGTGCATGTACTATGTGCAGGAAGCCTATTTGAATGATTTCAGTAAAATCCATGTTCTGTGCATACAATTATGATAATGTGTATTTTTTTATAAATGCTGACTTCATGATTTTTTCTGACCATTTTATGTCATCACTGCTATGAAAAACTGTCCATTTCAGGTGATTTTTTTCACTATTAGGGGAATAGAGGCAGGGCCCATGAAGAGGGGGACATTGGCCCTAAAAAGCACTGCATTTAATACTTAACAACAGCACAGCTTTAGACATGTTCTTTTGTTATATTATGTTTTGAGTGAACTTTCATAACTTCTAAAAAAAAAAAATTCAGTTTTTTTTTCAAATCTGTATTCAATTTGATTATTGAAGAACATAAAAATATCAATGTTACATAAATATCATTACTAACAATGACAGCTCTCAGCATAATTAACATGTGCAAGCAATTTGAGCAAAAAAAGGGACATAGCTTTATATACAGCTCAATTTGCTTGTCATTTTCTGACCATATATATAATATAAAATGTTTGTTTTCCTTAAACTCATCTTGCCTGTGCTACCAGTATAGAGCCACACAAGTGGAACATCCCTGTAGCCTGACCAAGCTCTATACTATTAGCAAACTTGCTTAAATTTTCATAATAATATCTCTACATTGATAATGGACAGTTCTAAAGATAACTTTTAAAATGTTTGAATGATGGGCTACATTAAAGTTTTTGAATGACGACAACACAGAATCATAATAACTAAAAGAAACATATCTTAGCATTTCAAAACACACAGAACAAGTAGATTTTACGTGTATTAGAATTGTTACATTACAAGACAGAAAACGTATTAAATACAGCAAGTTTATTGATTGAATATTCAAAGTTTAACCTTAACAACGGATCCTGAATCCTGTATTTGTAAAAGATAACCAAAAACCAAATCAGTAACAACATATGTTATATATTAACATTAGTTAAATGAAATATACTCCAACATACGTAGAAATACGGGCAAGATAAAAAAAAAAATTAGAAGGGACAACATTAATACATGTATGAGTTTATATAAGTGCTTATTTAAATCTAAAACTAGAAATGTGTCCATAGGACACGGGTGCCCCCACCGCGCCACTGTTCTGTCAATCTTTTTACTTAGTCAAGGGAAATTACTCTACAAATACTGGATAAATCCACAAGCAAAACCCCAGGTGCAAATCTAAAATATGCTGAGCAACCTGCCTATAAGGTTAAATGACTATGTCAAATCCTTTTTGAGAAACTTGCGACACAAGTTGAAAATTGCAAAAATTTTCTAAGTGAAGGGCAATAACTCTTAAAAAACTAAATAAATCCAGACGAAAATACCTGGTGCACAACTGCACATGCTAATCAATATTCCTGTTAAGTTACATGACTCTAGGTCAAATACTTTTTGAGTTACCTGCGACACATGTTGAAAATTGCAAAATTTTACTAAGTCATGGGCAACATATCTGAAAATACTAAATATATCCAGACGAAAATACCCAGCTGCACAACTACACATGCTGATCAACATTCCTGTAAAGTTTCATGACTATAGGTCAAATACTTTTTGAGTTACATGCGACACAAGTTGAAAATTGCAAAATTTTACTAAGTCAAGGGCAATAACTCTGAAAATAATGAAAATTTCCAAACGAAAATACCCAAGTGCACAACTACACATGCTGATCAACATTCCTGTAAAGTTTCATGACTATAGGTCAAATACTTTTTGAGTTACATGCGACACAAGTTGAAAATTGCAAAATTTTACTAAGTCAAGGGCAATAACTCTGAAAATACTAAAAATATCCAGACGAAAATACCCAGGTGCACAACTACACATGCTGATCAACATTCCTGTAAAGTTTCATGACTCTAGGTCAAATACTTTTTGAGTTACATGCGACACAAGTTGAAAATTGCAAAATTTTACTAAGTCAAGGGCAATAACTCTGAAAATAATGAAAATTTCCTAACGAAAATACCCAGGTGCACAACTACACATGCTGATCAACATTCCTGTAAAGTTTCATGACTCTAGGTCAAATACTTTTTGAGTTACGTGCGACACAAAAGTGAACGGACGGACGGAAGGATGGACGGAAGGACGGACGGACAAGGGTAAATCTAAATGCCCGCCACTTACGTGGGGGCACAACAAAATCCTAAAACAAGAGGGCCATGATGGCCCTGAGGTCGCTCACCTGTATATAGGCCCCCGAAGCTGGGCCAGTTTAAACCCCAGGGCTTTTATTTCAACAAACTTGGTATTAAGACACCCATTAGAAGATGTTTCATGATGTCAAGTTTTTGCTATACACATATAAGGAGAAACAATGACCTTCTCCCCCCCCCCTCCCCGGCAGAGTTAATTTTAACCCAAGGGCTTTTAATTATTTGAACAAACTTGGTAGAAACCCATAAGAAGATGTTTCATGCTAAACATCTAAGCTCTAGCTCATTGGGTTCATTGGGTTTTTTAAAAGAATTTTTTTTAAGTTTTTACTATACACATATAGTTAAAAACAATGACACCCCTGGGGCGGGGCAAGTTTTGACCCTAGGGCTTTTATTTGAACAAACTTTGTAGACACTTATTAGAAGATGTTTCATGCTTAATATCTAAACTCTAGCTATTTGGGTTTTTTCAAAGAAGATTTTTTAAGTTTTTGCTATACACATTTAAGAAAATCAATGACCCCCGGGGTGGGGCCAATTTTGACCCCAGGGCTTTAATTTGAACAAACTTTGTAGACACTCACTAGAAGATGTTTCATGCTTCATATCTAAACTCTAGCTATTTGGGATTTTTTCAACGAAGGTTTTTTAAATTTTTGCTATACACATATAAGGAAAATCAATGACCCCCGGGGCGGGGCCAATTTTGACCCCAGGGCTTTTATTTGAACAAACTTAGTAGACACCCATTAGAACATGTTTCATGCTAAATATCTTAGCTCTAGCTCTTTGAGTTCTTTAAAAGAAGATTTTTTAAGTTTTTACTATATGCATATGGGAAAATCAATGACCCCCCTGGTGCGGGGCCAATTTTGACCCCAGGGCTTTTATTTGAACAAACTTGGTAGACACTCACTAAAAGATGTTTCATGCTAAATATCTTAGCTCTAGCTCTTTGGGTTCTTTAAAAGAAGATTTTTAAGTTTTTACTATATGCATATAGGGAAAATCAATGACCCCCGGGGCGGGGCCAATTTTGACCCCAGAGCCTTTATTTGAACAAACTTGGTAGACACTCATTAGAAGATGTTTCATGCCAAATATCTAACCTCTAGCTCTTTGGGTTCTTTTAAAGAAGATTTTTTAAGTTTTTACTATATGCATATAGGGAAAATCAATGACCCCCTGGGGCGGGGCCAATTTTGACCCCAGGGCTTTTATTTGAACAAATTTGGTAGACACTCATTTAGAAGATGTTCCATGCCAAATATCTAAGCTCTAGCTCTTTGGGTTCTTTAAAAGAAGATATTTAAAGTTTTTTCTTTCGGTTGCCATGGCAATCAGAGTTCTGCTGGAATTAAATTCTTTGAACAATTTTTAAAGATGACCACCAAAGGAACATTCCTGTGAAGTTTGGATGAAATTGGCCTTGTGGTTTATGAGGAGATGTCATTTGAAGCAAAAGTTTACAGACGGACGGACGCCGGACGGACGCCGGACGAAAAGCGATCACAAAAGCTCACCCTGTCACTTTGTGACGGGTGAGCTAAAAAATAAGAAAGAATGTAAACAAGAGGGCCATGATGGCCCTGAGGTTGCTCACCTGTATATAGGCCCCTGGAGCGGGGCCAGTTTAAACCCCAGGGCTTTTTTTTTTAACAAACTTGAAAGACACCCATTAGAAAATGTTTCATGATGTTAAGTTTTTACGACACACATATAATGAAAAACAATGATCTCCCCCCTGCTCCTCCCCCTCCCGGCAGGGCCAATTTTAACCCAAGGGCTTTTATTTGAACAAACTTGTTAGACATCCATAAGAAGATGTTTCATCCTAAACATCTAAGCTCTAGCTCATTGGGTTTTTTAAAAGAAGATTTTTTAAGATTTTACTATACACATATAGTTAAAAACAATGACACCCCTGGGGCGGGGCCAATTTTGACCCCAGGGCTTTTATTTGAAGAAACTTTGTAGACACTTACTAGAAAATGTTTCATGCTTAATATCTAAACTCTAGCTATTTGGGCTTTTTCAAAGGAGATTTTTTAAGTTTTTGCTATACACATACAAGGAAAATCAATGACCCCCGGGGCAGGGCCAATTTTGACCCCAGGGCTTTTATTCAAACAAATTTGGTAGACACCCATTAGAACATGTTTCATGCTAAATATCTTAGCTCTAGCTCTTTGAGTTCTTTAAAAGAAGATTTTTTAAGTTTTTACTATATGCATATAGGGAAAATCAATGACCCCCTGGGGCGGGGCCAATTTTGACCCCAGGGCTTTTATTTGAACAAACTTGGTAGACATTCACTAGAAGATGTTTCATGCCAAATATCTAAGCTCTAGCTCTTATGGTTTTTTAAAAGAAGATATTTAAAGTTTTTTTTCTTTCCGTTGCCATGGCAACCAGAGTTCTGCATGGAATTAAATTCTTTGAACAATTTTTAAAGGTGACCACCAAAGGAACATTCCTGTGAAGTTTGGAAGAAATTGGCTTAGTGGTTTATGAGGAGATGTCATTTAAATAAAGTTTACGGACGGACGACAGACGGACGGAGGCCGGACGAAAAGCGATCACAAAAGCTCACCCTGTCACTTTGTGACAGGTGAGCTAACAAGAGCTGTCCGTAAGACAGCGCGCTCGACTTTTTTATTGCTTGCCAATAAAAAAAGTTTTTGCAGTAAAAGGCAATACAAGAATCTCTGTATTTTTAAAGTGAACTAGTTGTTTGATACCCTTGAATATTACAGCAATGTTTATATGACATAATTTATGGTAAAGTGAACAAGTGGATAGGAATGAATTTTTTTAGATTTTTTAAGTTTTTTAGTGCTTGCCTATAATACAAAACATTGACAGTTAAGGGCCATAATTCAAATAAAATCTTTGACAGAATTACCTTCTCCTGGACATGTTTGGGAATCATGATTGTAAACAAGTATTCCAACTTTCAAATTAATATCTCAAACAGTTCAGTCAAAAAGTGGACTGGTACTAAAAACTTAACCAAGATTCTAAGTCGATAAAAGGCCTTAATTTTTAAAAACAAATCCTTGACAGAGTTACCTTCTCTTGCGTACAGATGGGGGTAATGATGTGAAATAGCATTAAAAGTTTCAAAGCAATATCTCAAAGGGTTAAGGCAATAAGTGGATTTTACCCATATTCAATGTATTTTTCTAAGTCAAAAAGGGGCATAATTCTGTCAAAACCTTGACAGAGTTATGTCCTCTTGTCTGTTGATGAAGGTCGTGATGGTAAACAAGTATGGTCAGTTTCAAAGCAATACCTCCAATGGTTTTGAAATAAAGTGAGGTGGTACAAAAAACTTAACCAAGCTCAATACACTTTCTAAGTCAAAAAAGGGCCATAATTCTGTCAAAAACCTTGACAGAGTTATGTACTCTTGTCTGTAGATGGAGGTTATGATGGTGAACAAGTATGGTAAGTTTCAAAGCCATACTTGTAATACTTCTGAAATAAAGTGGGGTGGTACGAAAAACTTAACCAAGGTGTGACGCCAACGCCGACGCCGACGCCGACGCCGGGGCGAGTAGGATAGCTCCCCTTTTCATAGAAAAGTCGAGCTAAAAATGAAGATGAAACAACACAATAAAAATTAAAGCCAAAAAATGATGACTAAATTTTAGAACACGTCAACCTTAAGACAAAGGGAAGACAGTATGTGTACTAGAGTAATTTATTTCACACCTTACAAAATATAACCAATGCACTTTCAGCATTTGCACCATGTGATGTTTCAAAAGAAACTTTTATTAGATACTTTCTTTTCAATTTAGCCTAAGTTTCGTTCCCAGAGTCCAAACAGTTCTTATCATAATCCTACACCCCTTTTGGCCTCTTTTTCATTTTAAGACTCCATAGAATCTTTATCAAATGCACATCATACACTTGCTTCCATTCAAATTCTTATTTTAATTAAAGTCACAAAGCTCTGTCAAAATGTCAAGAAATGGTGGTGTGAAATAAAAAGGTTATTATACATGGTTGACAACAACACTGATCCTGTTACACTCATACACTGCTGCAAAACCTATATCAGACTTGGCTATCACCTCGTCCAATATAGTTTTGACAGCTGTGAACTTGTCTAGCAGAATTCAGTATTCTACTCAACAATATATAATAACCTCATAACATCAAATCAACGTAAGCCTACTTTAAGAGCATTTGGTGGGTACAAGAGTAATAAATTGCCTAAACACAAGCCAATCTTAAATGCATATAAGAAATTAAACTCGATAAAAAGTCCCACAGATGTGACTGTATGTCCACTTAAAAAGATAACAATATGGGCCTCAAACTAAGCTAGCATGCCTATATCAAGCACAAGTTCAAGAATTTATAATTCACACATACCATTTCCATGGCCTCCTCAAAACTTTGACGTCTCTCGGCAGAAGGGAGATAATTATTGCGATCTTGTTGTCTTTGATTGTACATGTCCTGCTGATCGGGAGACAAATACTCTTCTGAAAAATTACATGTAGTGAAAAGTACATTTTAGCACTGATGTAATAAGCTTCTTCAGGTTTAAGAAGTTTTTGTGTGAAAAATTGAAATTTGTCAGCAAGAATTTGTTATATGTCAGCTAAAATTTGATATATGTCATTGAAATTTTGATATACATGTATGTCATTGAAAATTTGATATATGTCAGAGAAAATTTGATATATATACCAGTGAATCCGTGAAAAAAATGAAATTTGTTAAGAAGAATTTGATATTTGTCAGTGAAAATATCAAAATTATCAGTTGAAACATTGAAATTAATCAGTAAAATATTGTATTCTTAACTGTGAAATATTGAAGTTGTCAGTGAAATATAAAATTATACATGCATCTGTATAAAACCAGCAATATCATGAATGTGTGTCTTTTGCAAGTCCAGTATAGTGTTAAATAAAACAATACAGATTAATAAATGTACATGTTTAAAGATTAGATGAAGTTACATATCATATAATAAAATGTTCTGAGACTTAGTGTAAGAAATACGGGCTCTAAAACTAAAAGACACTAAAAAGCAAATTTTAAGGTGGCTTAGAATATATTGTATACCTACTTGCACTTGTTTTCCTTGTTTTCAAAAGTCTTAAATTAGTAAAAAAATCTTAACCACTAAATAAATCTTAACCACTTACTTAATACTTAATTTTAACCACTACTATCGTTGGGTGCCTTTAATTCATCCCTGTCCTAGAGTCAACACCCTAACTGTGTATGTCAGAAAATCTCAAATATAAGATAAGTAAATCTAATGTATCTGCCAATGCTTGGATTATTAGAAAATATAGTGTATCAAACTAGCACTGTAAAATGCTTAGGGATAAATCTTAACCATAAATTCCTAATTCTGAACCGCTGAAGTACTAACTAATTAAACGCTAACTAAAACTTTACCATTAACCAATAACTAAATACTACCACTAACCACATCTTAACTATGAAGTGCTCACTAAATCTAAACTGCTAACCGCTAACTTTATCTTCATCACTAACTTAATCTTAATTATTAATAATATTTCAACCACTAACTATTACACAATGTAGGAAAATCAGAGAGCTTATCATGCAAGTCTCATTTATGAAGAAAAGTAATAAGTTTTTTAATTCATCATACCGGTACCACCGCTGGCAGCTGAAGTGTCATGAACACCAGCTGTATTAACATCTTCTCGTGACCTCATTATCACGGCTATTTCATCAGGGGTCAATGAATCCTCCTCAGCTACAAGACAAAATAACATTAATTCTTACATTAATTAATGATAGATGTGTTTCTTTTCCCTATGAAAAATCTTTCAATTTCATAACAAACAAAAAGATATAGAGAATAGCTTAAAAATAAACAAAAAAAATTCAAGTTAATTTTAAGGAAATTTAAAAATCTACTAAAGTTCAACATTGCATCTTCTTAAGTATAATTATTATATAAAGTTTATAGCTATATTTAGAATATAAAATCTTGAAGACTTTTATCAACTTTTTTTCTTTGAAAGGTGGCGCTAAAAATTGTAAAATTTGTATGTAGATAAAAATTATTTAGTTTTATTTTCAATCTCATTTTAATTAGTGACCCTGTGTTGTGACTCTGTGATAATAATAACTTTTTTACATTACACTCACCCTGTGTCAGGCCTTTGTGATAAAAATAACACTTTTCATTTAATCTAACCCTGTGCCACACCTCTATGATATAAATTGATATTTTAACATCATACAAACCCTGTGTCAGGCCACTGTGATATAAATTACAACTTTAACATTAAACAACCCTGTATCAGGGTATCTAATCTGTGACTAGAATCAGACATACATGTATTTTACCTTCTGCTCGTCTTGCTGTTGCTGTAGGAGGAGCTACAGCTTCATCATAAGATGGTGGGGGTGCTTCAATGTCTGTAGGTGGCCGCTTCTGAAGATGTTCCGGTACAGGCATAGACCGACTGGACCGGACCGGTTCCTCATCTTCCCTATAGTCTTGCATCAAACTACGATCGCTAGGATCACTTCCGCCCCTTCCGATGCTATAGAAAATGATAAAATATATTGTATGTATTGTATTCTAACACACACTTCACATAATTCCCCTACTAAACATTGTGCATTATTAAACAATACATGCACAGCATAAAAATGAATGCTTAACACGTCATATACAACGTCAATAAAAACCAAATGACATCAGGATTAATAATAACCTCGATAATCAACGTAGTTCCACAATTTTATCAATTCTTTCTTTTATTTGCATGTTAGTATGGTAATAGATATCAATCTTACTTACATTATAGTATTATAATTAATGTTTATTCATTCAAATGCTTTGAAATGCATTACTCAGCAGCCTTCCTGATTATATTTATGTGCATTTGAACTTAAACTGTGCATTATTCAAACAACAATACACTCAAAAATCTGCATCTACTTCACAAATGAAATATAAAATGCTAGTTACCAGAGAAACGACTGGCCTGTGATTGATGTGATTGTCATAAATTATTTTGAGAGAGCCATGTTGTAATTTAAAATAACATAGATATGCAAACAACTAATTACCATTTATATAAATTAATGAAAAACAAAGTCTTTCTCTTATCAAAATTTGCTGTACTCGGGGGAAAATGTTTTACCCTTTTATATATATCAATTAATTATTTTATAAACTAAATTTTTTTGTTCAAAGAAACTTCTCTTTCCTTCAACCGCTGGAACCAAATTTTATTAACCTTTGCCACAGTATTAGAGCCAGGTCAGCACACACTGCTGTTGAAGTCTAACCAGCCTCTATACTGTGGACCTGACAAGCATCAAAACTTGTTTTTATCTTGACATCTCAAAAAGTTGATATTCTAAAAAGTCAAGAAAATTTTCAACTATATTGCTTTACTTGAATTCATTTTAGTTTGTGTCGAAAGCTTTAAGCTTAATGACACACTGTTGTATCAGTTTCTGGAACCAATCAGTACTAAGCAATGACTTGCCTCTAACAGGACGTGACCAGCAATGATTGACGTAATAACCACTTGGCCATGCACCACTGCAATATATATCTATGAATAATAAAATTTCCTATTTGATATTAAAGGTTTTACCTGTATGGAAGCTAGTTTCATGAACTCCATCACTGCCAGAAAGCAACATCCTGTACATAAAAAACGGGGAGCTTTGAAAAAATGAAATTAAAAATCAATGCAAAAAAAAGATAACATGCAATATTATTCATAAAAACATAGGTCTGACAAACTCTCTTTTATTTGGGCTTTGATATTAAATGAAAATACCTAATTGTGTGCATAAATGTTGTGTCTCAAATATAAGACAATCTGCTTACAGTGAATTTATGTGTTTCACAAATATTTGTCAGGAAAGTGTTACACCTTGTCAGTTATGTTTAAATCAAGTAAATGTTAATGACCAATTTCGCTACTGAAAAAAATCTCTTAGATTACACTTACACATTAATTAAAAAAATTTCTTTGTCTGGTTTTTAAACCGATTTTAACAAATTTTAAGTCATATTTCTGCAATCAGTCCACCTAACAGGCCTTTCTTGATAAATAACCAGTAAATACCAATATCTCCACAACAAACAAGAGCTGTCATAGGAGACAGCGAAGCTCAACTAATAAAATACTGGACGCAGTAAGGAGGACAAAACTATGAAAGAAAAATCAATTATGTATAATTATGTATTAAGTTATAGTAAAAAATAACATTTGTTAACATAAATTTCAAGATCAAGGGGAATAATTCTTGAAATAGTCACGCTAGAGTTATGAAATTTGTCACACAACATGTGTGTAATGATAAGAAATATATATTTGAAGTTTGAAGTAGATACCTTAAAAAGTAAAGAAGTTATAATATTTCTTAAAGAAAATCCTAAGTTCAAAGAGAGATAAATCTGTAAATATTGCTTCAAGAGTTATGAACATTGTCACATAAAATGTAATTGATGATAAGGAATAAGTATTTGAAGTTTAAGTTAGATACCTTTAAACTAAAAAAGTTATAGTAAAAAATAACATTTTTCTAGTAAAAAAATCTGAGTTTATGAGGAGATAATTCTTGCAATATTGGTGCTAGAGTTATGAACCTTGCACATAAAATGGGGATGATGATAAGGTACATATATTTGAAGTATGAGGTTGATCCTTTAAGAAATAAAGAAGTAACAGTAAAAAATAGTATTTTTTAAGGAAAATTCTAAGTTCAAGGGGAGATAAATCTGAAAATATTGGTGCTAGAGTTATGAACCTTGTCACATAAGATGTGGATGATGATAAGGTACATATATTTGATGTATGAAGTTGAAATCTGGACGTGGACGCCGACACCAGTAGGATAGCTCTCCATATACACTGTACTTCGTATAGTCGAGCTAAAAATTGACTGACAATGACTACTAATCCCGCATGATTTCTTAATCAGTGGTGTGACAATAATGAACATCAGACTCAATATATGAGATCAGTTGTCAAGGAGAGTCAACTCTGCCAAGGATTCAACCAGCAACCCTTGAATTACACATCTGATGCTCTATTGAGCTAAGTGTGCAGACGCCAAATTGAAGACTAACATTGAACAGTCAAAACAAGAGTTCATAAAACATCTGTATTTACCTGCATACTTCTTTTCATCACCATCCATAACTTTTTGCTGATACTAAACTCTGTTCAACCTTAAAATATAAATACAATGAAAACTATTTAATTACATGATTCTTTATTATATAAGGAGTACATATTGAACTTTAATTCTTTATTTATTGACAGGATATAAAGCTCCTGTGATTCAGGGCAAACACCTACATTTTTTTTTCACGTTGATCATTGTGAAACAGCATCTTTTATTTTTGTAATAAATGGTTAAAAAAATAGAAATATGAGCCAATTGGTGTAAGATTTTGATAATCTTTTTTTATTTGAAATTATTGACTTAAACATTGACATCTTGTATAGGAGTTAGATAGTAGGCAATGCCTCTTAAGTCCCATATCTGTTCATAACATTCCAATGATATCATCCTATTTTTTTAGATGTTTATTAGGAAAGTCATTTATTTTCCTTATTAAAGGGAAATTCAATTCAATGTTTCATTTTATTGATTTTGAAGGTATTGTTAATAAGAATTTATGAATGTTAACACAAAATTAATTTTTATCAGTTTAAGAAATGTTACAGAATGTGTAAATAATATAAACTATACAGTATAGTATCAGCTCAGAAAAGTGAATTATGTTCTGTTTTAACAGAGTTTTAATAATTCCTGTTATTAGGAGTAGGAGTGAATACATTGGTTTAAATGAGGACATATGATGAATTACATTTAATTATGAGTTGAATGATAATGAAAGATAAATTTCTGAAACATCATTTGTATTATAAGAGTAACAACATGAGAACATTTCATTTACAATAAATTAAGGGATAACATAGAAATGACCAATTAAAATCTAAACTATTATGATCTAAAAACATAAAGTAATGAGTTTGAAGTCATTGACAAAAAGTGAAATCCCCCTTTTAATTCATTTTTGATAATATAATCCAAGGTCTATATGAGTATATCACAAGTATCAGAATAATATTGGTACAAAATGGGAGTGAAATGTCCTAAAGACATTTCACTCCAATTTGGTAGTGAAACGTCTTGGTGTAACAGTCTTGGTGTGAACCGTCTCAATAGTGAAACATCTGTCTACCCACTCACTGTCATGACTGTGTCACCTTTACCTTCTTCTTCTTCTGAGCATTTAAGCCAAGATGGCTTGTAAGCTCCTCCTATACAGTATTGTAAAAGATAACTTCAATAAATGTCATTTGTATCAAATCTTTTACTTTGCCAGCTCAGGTCGAGTAGAGTTTTAAATGTCAAAATACTTTCACTGAGCACAATGTTTTCATCTACATTTAAATTATTCCACTGGTCGATGCATCTAATAGGAAATGAAATTTTTCCTTGAAGTGTTTTATTAACACTTGGTAATATATGTCAGCGTGTACAGTTATCACTGAACACGAAAAATTGATTCCGGTCAACATTATCAAACCCATTAATTATTTTAGAAATTTGAATGAGGTCAAATTGTTGTCTACATGTATGATATAAAAGTGTTGGGAAATTGAGCCTTTCAAGTCTTTGTTCGTAGGATAAACCTCTCAATGATGGAATAATTCTAGTTGCCTTTCTTTGAATATTTTCAATCAATAGGGAACGATCTGAGATAAGCATCGTATACGTCACTGATAAGAGACCTGTTCTAAATATAGCCACATATCGATAACTTTCGGACAAGGAAACTGGTTAATCTACATGTAGATTATACAACAGGTAATGGTTACGAATACTTTTATTCACATTTCTCTCAATGGAAATGATGTTCCTGGAGTTAAACTTGCGTAAAGCATGATTGAGATGGTTTAAAACCATCAGGAAAAAAAGATGATATGGTGAAAAAGAAATAACTTTCGGGGCAATACTTTCCCTGCATGTCAATTTGAGAAAAATGCCGGCGCTTGGCAATTTGTTTTTGTTTCACTGTTTATCAAAATTAGAAATGGTGATATGATATGGTATGATTTTAAGAAATTGGGACTAAAAATGAAAAAGTATCTTTCTGTCCCAGATATACCGTACAAAATTTTGTTTATATGTAAAATACACAGATTGGAGAAGTCATGAATCTATCCACCAAAGTGCTACGAGTATTAGATTAATGACTATAATATCTTAAATTAATTCTTTAATAATTTTAGAATACGCAAAACTCTGCGTTTTTCCTATTTTACCTAATAAAAAATGCCAATTCTAGTAGTTATTTTATCAGAAATAATGTATACGTACATGCATGCTTGCATGTATATTTAAACTGAATTGACAATTTAGGTCCGTGATTTAACATACACTGTTTACATATAGACAATAAAATACATTTGTTTTTTATTTTATGTCTCACACAAAATATTTGTTGTTAAAATCATCGCCAATTTAGAATTACTGGTGCATTTTGTAAACTTCGCCTCATCAATCAAAAGAGTCAAACTTTTTTCTGCCTGAATGACAAAACCATTTTATTGACAAATATAGAGGCCAGAGCAGATTGTGACATATGTTTTAAATTTAACTTTTCAAAAGTACAGTGTGTAGTTGTCCCTTTTCTTTCATACTAAATTCCATTTCCAACTTGTTTGCATTCTACAATTTCTTAAAATATTGCATGTAAACAAAGTAAATATACGCTGATTAACAGCATGTATAGTGTGAACTCCCTAATCCCTTGTCCGAAAGTCAGTACAGGTGATGTAGTGGTGATAAGGTAAAATCTATTTGTAGAACGGTGTTACCTTCAGATCGAAGGCTATTGAATGTTTTTCTTTGTAGATGGAAAATAAACAGAAGATCCATAATCAACAATTGATCTTATCAGACTTTTGTAGACAGTCAAGAACATAGGTATTGTCATGCAGGAAAAACTTCTCTTTATTAAACCTGTTAATTTCTTTGTACAGTTAACAGTATTTAAGACATATTGATCAAATTCAAGATTATTTTGGAATGTGATGCCGAGATCTTTCTCACTAACAACTTTTGGTAAAAAGATATTTTGACTGGTAGTCTTTCATTTCGTAGATATAATATCATGGAAGTTTGACGTTACCAATCGGCATCGATTTACATTTCGGAATGGAAAATTGAAGCAGCCAGTCAGCTGACCAATCACATAAACGAAGTAAATCTTCCTGTATAATTTGCTATCATCAGCAAATAATTTACATGTACTCAGTACTGTAGACTGAACCACAGGCGCTAGTCACATGTCACAAAATCAAATATTTTACATAACCGGTCTATATATGTATACTGGTCGGAGAGATAACTCCGACACATAGATAACTCCGACACTTTATAATTATTTTTGTTATAACTTTGTTTTTCAACAAAAAAGCATATAGTCACCTAGTAGTATAGGAGCAGGACAGAATGTGATGATTTTTTGAAAGTTTGTAAACTTTTTAATAATTTTCAAATAACCTAAACTTTTTGTTGGCAAAAACTGCTTCAAAACGTTCTTTTTACTAAATTGCAATAAGATAGGTAGAAATGTATTGACCACAGACCACTGACTTGGGAAA